TTAGCTCGGCTGTTAGAAGTAACAGCTTCCTCTAATACAGCTACTCCTGAGCTGATGCTCCCAACATCTTCCCTCAAACGGGCAAATCTGCTAGGTTACACCAAATCAGGACTAGCTAGCCCTTTCCTCTTCCCTCCCCCCCTGCTTCCTCGCCCCACTGTCACCCAGCTACATGCCTGTTCCCCATCTGTCTTATCTCCTCCCTCTCCACTACCTGTCCCCACTAAACTCTGCTCAGTGAGCAGTAGACTCCTTTCAAGATTGTCAATCTCCCTCAATGTTGCGATTTGCTTCTCGAGATCTCCAATCTGAGCTTCCAGAGAAGCCACTCGCACACAACCATCCCAGAGGTATGGACCCTGGACGGGTACATCCAGGCATCCATACATGCAACAAGATGTGCATTGAGTCAAACCAGCAATCTTGCTAACACTCATTTCCCCTTTAAACAGAAAATGAAAACAAATACCTTGTATAACATGACCCCTTCCTAAGGACTACTGAACAGCAGAAGGCATTTGAGGATATCAAGAAAGCACTAATGCGTGCCCCAGCCCTAGGTGTACCTGATCATACACACACTCCTTTCTATATGTACGTACATGAGCAAAGAAGAATGGCTGTGGGAGTATTAACTCAATATTTGGACATTAAAGCTTACATGTCCAAACAGTTGGATGCAGTGGCCAGTGGTCTTTCACCTTATCTGCGAGCAGTGGCCGCCGCTGTCCTGTTGGTAGCAGAAGCTGACAAGCTTACACTGGGACAGGAACTCCACGTGTGAGTACCTCATGCAGTACAGACCCTCTTGGATTATAAGGGAAATCATTGGTTTAGCAACAGTCAAATGACCAAATATCAGGCTATGTTGTGTGAAAATCCAAGAGTACACTTCGAAACTGTCAACAATTTGAATCCAGCTACCCTTTTGCCTCAGACTACTGAAAGTCAACATGATTGTTTGGAGATAATGGATGAAGTGTTTTCAAGCAGGCCTGATCTTCATGATTTTCCCATCCAGAATCCAGACATACAGTATTATACTGATGGTAGTAGTTATGTGAAGGAAGGTGTACGTTATGCATATAGATAAGGTGATAGAAGCACGGCCACTGTCAAAAGGGACATCAGCACAGAAGGCGGAACTGATTGCATTAGCCAGGGCTTTGCAATTAGCTGAAGGACTCAGAGTGAATATCTACACTGATTTGAAGTATGCTTTTCTAACCACCCATGCACATGGAGCATTGTATAAATAAAGGGGATTGCTGAATTCAGAAGGAAAAGAGATCAAGTATGCGGCTGAAATTCTCCAACTGTTAGAGGTGGTATGGGAACCGAAGGAAGTCGGTATTATACACTGTAGAGCACATCTGAGGGGTGATAGTGATGTCATTAAAGGAAATCGCATGGCCGACAACGCAGCAAAACATGTCGCTGAATCTGGGCAAGAGGAATATGTGGGATATGTCGTAGCCCTTGTACCGGCACCTCTGTCTCAATGGACTCCAATATATACAACCCAAGAGATGGAGTGGTTGAAGACTGAAGCTGGGAAATATCTGGAGAATAACTGGCATCAGTTAGAAAATGGAAGAATAGTTATTCTGACATCTCTGGCTATAGAGATTGTTCAAAACTTTCATAATGTTACACATACTAGGAAACATTTCTATATACCAAGGTTATCTAGTCTGACTCAAGCCATAGTTCGGAGATGTGTTTTGTGTGCCCAAAATAATGCAACATAAGGCCCTGTCAAACCCCCTGGAGTTCAGTATATGGGAGGACTCCCAATGTCAGATTTGCAAATAGATTACACTGTGATGCCTAAATCTGGGGAATATCGTTATTTGTTGGTAGCTGTGTGCACCTACTCAGGCTGGGTAGAAGCTTGTCCAACTCGTACAGAAAAGGCAGGGGAAGTTGTACGATTTCTGTTGCGAGAAGTTATACCCAGATATGGACATCCGTGTTCTATAGGATCAGATAATGGCCCAGCCTTTATTCATCAGTGTTTGCAACAACTAACTCATGTGCTTGGTATCAAGTGGAAACTTCATACAGCCTATAGACCTCAGTTGGCTAAAATGTGTCAGGAAACTCAGCTCAAGTGGAATGTCCTTTTGCCAATAGCTCTGTTGCGAATACGTAGTAAGCCTACCAGAAGGATGGGTTTGTCTCCCTTTGAAATTATGTATGGGCGTCCACCTCCCATACTAAGTAATCTAAGGGGGGGACTTAAATCAGTTGGGTGAAGGAATTACTCGGCAGCAGGTTGTAGAGTTGGGTAAAACTATGAAGGAGATGCAGAAATGGGTGGTATAGGTTACCTGTTCATTCCTATCAACCAGGAGATCAAGTGTGGATAAAAGAATGGAATATTGTTCCATTAGGTCCAAAGTGGAGGGGTCCTTATGTTGTTCTTTTATCTACCCCAACAACTGTAAAGGTGGCAGAGGTGACTCCGTGGATTCATCATTCTAGGGTTAAACCAGCATCAGACTCTTGGCAAGCTATCCCAGATCCTGAGAATCCTTGCAAGATCCGGTTGAAGCGTGCAACTCAGAGTGACGAGGAGATATTGGGACATCTAGAGTAACTATAGAGATCAGCAAAGTAGGTGTTTTGACGGCCATAATAAAGCCTGACCACCTGCCTACGTGTCATAGCCAGAGTGTCTCGAAGGGATCTCTGTGAAGGAAAGTGAGGATCAGAAGAACAACATCCTTGCAGCCCTCACAATCGGGAAGCTGAGGGGCCATCACACGGTCGAAGAAAAATGAGGATTTCAGGAATAATGTGTTTTATTATGTGTCTTAGTATTTTATGATTTTTCAGGAAGGTAGGAGTACAGAAATACCAAATTGCGATAGTTGCATTAAGACTACTAAAACAGGTAACCAAATATCCTAAACTCTCATCTGGCACTCACAGTATGAATGTAAGGGATCTGTATCTAAATGTAGATATTTGGATATTGATTATAGTGTGTGCAAGCCAATATCAGTCTAAATGTTTCGATCCCTAATTCCAACCCCGTACAATTTGGTTGGTAATTAGGAATAGTAATTCCCAGGGAACTTTGATAAATAGGACTGTGATAAATACCATACATTCTACGGGTGTTCTGCTATTTGATGCATGTAAGGCGATTTCTGGTAGTAGAAAACCTTGGAATGTATGTGGTAATCTTAAATGGGAACGAACTTATGGGTTTAATGATAAATACTTATGTCCCACTAAAAGATCTACTGATCCTGATTTCCCAAATAGAGATTATAATTTTTGTCCCTATTGGTCTTGTGTAGGGTGGGCAACCTGGGGAAAAACAGTGGATCAAGATATGATTATCCAAAGGTTGCCTACCACACCATACTGTAAATCTATGGAATGTAATCCGGTCCATATGACCATCTCTAATCCCCAGCATCTTATTGACAAATTTGGAAATATTTTTGGGTTACAAATACATGGCACAGGAGTAGATCCAGGAACAATAATATATGTAGGTCTTGAAATTGAGACAGTGGCAACTCAAACTCATCAGGTTTTCTATTCCTTTTATGAGAAGATGAGTGTTGAGGATAAAATTTCCCATAATGTTAAGAACCTATTTATTGATTTGGCTGAGAGTATTGCGGGTAGTCTTAATGTAACTAATTGCTATGTATGTGGAGGTACTAACATGGGAGACCAGTGGCCATGGGAAGCAAAGGAGGCATGGTACCCTGGTTCTGAGACAGATGAACAACAGATACTTTCTCAGTCTGATCATCAAGTGAGTACTAGAGGTAAATCGGAATGGCGGTTAAAAACCACCATTATAGGTCATGTTTGTATAGCCAGGAAAGGGACAATGTATAGCACGTCTATAGGTGAGCTAACTTGCTTGGGACAAAAAGCCTATAATGTTAATACTAAAAATACTACTTGGTGGTCAGCTTCAAATGTCTCGGAACCTACTAATCCATTTGCCAATTACACTAATTTGAAAGAGGTATGGTTCATCCAATTGGAGAGCCCCAGCAAAATTGTACTGGATTTATGGTAAGAAGGCATATTCGGAGTTACCACAAGACTGGGAAGGAGCATGTGTACTAGGTATGCTCAAACCATCCTTCTTCTTGTTGCCAATTGAAACAGGAGAGACCTTGGAGTTAAGGTTTATGATGTGAATCATAAAAAGAAGCAAGCATCTTTGAATATAGATAGCTGGGAAGATGATGAGTGGCCTCCCCAACGTATTATTAATTATTATGGACCGGCTACTTGGGGAGAAGATGGCACTTATGGATATAGAACCCCAATATATATGCTTAATTGTATTATAAGACTACAGGCGGTGGTTGAGATTATCACCAATGAGACAGCACAGGCGCTCAATCTCCTAGCTAAACATAATACCCCAATGAGATCAGCCATCTATCAAAATAGATTAGCTCTGGACTATTTATTAGCAGTAGAGAGAGGTGTATGCAGGAAGTTTAATCTAAGTAACTGTTGTCTGCACAAAGATGATGAAGGGCAGGCAGTGGCTGAACTTACCAGTCACATGGTTAAACTTGCTTATGTACCTACTCAGGTCTGGAGTGGGTATAACCCAAGTAGTTGGTTTGGAAGTTGGTATGAGCAGCTTGGAGGTATTAAGGCATTAGTAGGAGGAGTAGTATTTATTATATTCATATGTTTCTCTCTGCCCTGCTTAATTCCATTAGTGGTCAGGACCATACGAAGTGTTGTAGGCAGCACTATTGAGAGGAATACAGCTGCCCATGTAATGGCTGTCTGTAAATATAAACCTTTAGCCCAGAGAGAGCATATTCAGGATGGAGAATGCTAAAAGAATATGCTAGGGATGCTTATGAGGTCTGTTCTGGCTCATGGCTACTTGAGAGGTGTTGGCAAACTATGATTGGTGATGCATTTGAAATTATTTTAAATCAGAAGCATCAAAGGGGGGAATGTGATGGAATTCCAGTAAAATAAAAGTTTACCAGGTCAAGATTGCCACAAGGCATATGTAGGTACATGTGTTTGTAGTATCAGTTAGTAAGTTACACGTAGCTAAGATACTGTCATCAATGTACTGAGCATGTGCAGGAATGCAGGAACTGGAATTACGTCTCCCTCTCCTTTGTTTCAGATGAGCCACGTGGTTAGACTGGATGGATGAGTTTAGACTCTGTTCATTGATTAGGTTAAGGGTATGTGTGGGAGTAGCTAATTATGGGAGGAGCTACAGTGCTATATAAGGAATGTACTCCATGTATTCAGTGCTCAGAATTTTGGAACAGGAGTTCATCTGAGACCTGATCGGTAATGTGAATAAAGGCCTCTTACTTCCTGAATACCTGTGTCCATTTCTCTGTGTTTGGCTTCTGCACGCTTACACGGTTAAAAATCTGCTAAATAGTACATTTTGGGGCCTGCTCTTCATATCTGAGATTCAAACCGAAGCATCTAATAGTGCGCTTACAGCAAAGTTGTAAACATTTTAATTTTCTGGGTGCTAATCTGCTAAAGAGTACATTTTGGGGTGTGCACTTCATATCTATCAGTCAAATAGAAGTGTCTAATAATGTGCTTACAGCAAAGTTGTAAACATTCTAATTGTTTTGCTGCTAATCTGCTAAATAGTACATTTTGGGGCCTGCACTTCATATCTGAGAGTCAAATCGAAGCGTCTAATAGTGCGCTTACAGCGCAGTTGTAAACATTCTAATTTTCTGGGTGCTAATCTGCTAAATATTACATTTTGGGGCCTGCTCTTCATATCTGAGAGTCAAATTGAAGTGTCTAATAGTGCGCTTACATCGTAGTTTTAAACATTCTAATTTTCTGGGTGCTAATCTGCTAAATAGTACATTTTGTGGCATGCACTTCATATCTCAGTGTCAAATAGAAGCGTCTAATAGTGTGCTTACAGCAAAGTTGTAAACATTCTAATTGTTTTGCTGCTAATCTGCTAAATAGTACATTTTGGGGCCTGCACTTCATATTTGAGAGTCAAATCAAAGCGTAAATAGTGCGCTTACAGTGCAATTGTAAACATTCTTATTTTCTGGTTGCTAATCTGCTAAATAGTACATTTTGGGGGTGTGCTCTTCATATCTGAGAGTCAAATCGAAGCGTTAAATAGTGCGCTTACAGCGCAGTTGTAACCATTCTAATTGTTTTGCTGTTAATCTGCTAAATAGTACATTTTGGGGCCTGCTCTTCATATCTGAGAGCCAAATCGAAGTGTCTAATAGTGCGCTTACAGCGCACTTGTAAAAATTCTTATTTTCTGGGTGCTAATCTGCTAAATAGTACATTTTGGGCATGCTCTTCATATCTGATTGTCAAATCGAAGCATCTAATAGTGCGCTTACAGCGCATTGTATACATTCTAATTTTCTGGCTGCTAATCTGCTAAATAGTACATTTTGGGACCTGCTCTTCATATCTGAGAGTCAAATCGAAACGTCTAATAGTGGGCTTACAGCAAAGTTGTAAACTTTCTAATTGTTTTGCTGCTAATCTGCTAAATAGTACATTTTGGGCGTGCTCTTCATATCTGAGAGTCAAATCGAAGCGTGTAATAGTGCGCTTACAGTGCAGTTGTAAACATTCTAATTTTCTGGGTGCTAAATAGTACATTTGGGATGTGCACTTCATATCTGGTGTATGTGTGCAACACTGGCTAGTTACCGCTTCTCAAGAAAGTCTAAAGACAAATAAATGTTGCCTATGGTGCAGGTAGCATAGAGGGCAAGACTGAGACAAATCATTCGGGTTACGTTTGCCTGCTGACATGTTAATTATCTTAGGTCATTAAAATTCAATAATCAATGAAAAAACACACTAAGTGTCATACAAAAATATGTATTATAGACAAGTTAAAAACAAGACTACAAGTCATGCTATAACAAAATTAAACACGTTTAAAATATGTATGGGCCAACCAGTGGCTGTCAAAACAAAGTTTTACTGGTTACATTCATGACTACACACTCATTCATGACTACACTGTCATATTGTTCAAAAAGTGAAAAATAAGTGTTATTGTGATCGCTTCATATGCAGAAGCATTAACATACATTTCTATATTGGGTAAAGACAAAACTGCAAAGTTAAAAACCAAACACCAAAACAACGTGCCAGACAATCTAACTCTGCATGGCTAGGGTGATTCAATAAAAAAATGCAATAACCCACAGAAGGGGAGGGGGGGGAGAAGAAATTGTCAGGGGACGGGTGAAAGAAGAAATTGGGAGGGGAGGGAGAAGAAATTGTCAGGGGAGAAGAAATTGTCGGGGGAGGAGAAGAAGGAATTGTCAGGGGGGGAGAAGAAATTAGCAGGGGGAGGGGGAGAAGAAATGGGGAGGGTGGGAGAAAAAGAAATTGGTAGGGGAGGGGGGAGAAGAAATGGGGAGGGTGGGGAGAAAGAATTTGGGAGGGGGGGATAAGAAATGGGGAGAGGGAGAAGAAGAAATTGGTAGGGGAGGGGGGAGAAGAAGAAATGGGGAGGGGAGGGGGGAGAAGAAGAAATAGGGAGGGGGAGAAGAAATGGGGAGGGTGGGAGAAGAAGAAATTGACAGGGGGGAGAAGAGGAAATTGGTGGGGGGAGAAGAAATTGACAGGGGTGAGAGTGACAGGGGAGGGAGGGGCAATGAGAGTGGGAAGGGGGAGGTTAGAAGAGAGTGACAAGGGAGAGGGGGGAGAAGAGAGTGACAAGGGAGGCAGAGGGGGAAGACGAGAGTGACAAGGGAGGGGGGAGAGATTGACATCCATCACACACACATGCAATGCACCCCTTGCACACAGAAAAACACACAATGCATTACACACACAGACACACACACACACACAAACAATGCAACCCTTACACACAATGCATCCCTTACACAAACACACAATGCACCCCTTACACACACTCAATGCACCCCTTACACACGCACACACTGCATCCTGTACATACACAGAAACACACCTTGCAGCCCTTACACATACAAACACAGATTCACACAATGCATTCCTTACACACATATCAGGACATCCCCTACACACTCCACCCCCTGTGAACAAACTAATTGGTGGAACATGAAGGTGGACCCTGGGACCAAGACCTTGAGCTGTGTAAAGGGCCCCCAAAAAATGCAGCTGCTTACCGTTCTCCCAGAACATTGATTTTTGTGACCACAGTTACAAACAGCCTCCAGAGAGCTTGTTCTACACCAGACCAGTGGATCCAGACTGCAGCTAGAGTCCATCATCATCCTCATCTCGTTGTAAGTAGGCAATCTAGTATATTATTTGTGGCACTAATCTCTAATTTACCTCACATTAAAGAAACACTATAGTCCCCAGAACCACTGCAGCTTAATGTAGTTGTTCTGGTGTCTATAGCCTGTCCCTGTATGCCTTATAATGTAAACACAGTGGCACTGCAGCACTGGCATTAGTTAACATGGCAGATCATATGGGTGGAGCATTGTGATGTCACATGGGGGGGGGGGGCGGCAAACTTTACTTTTGCCTAGGGCGGCAAAAATCCTTGCACCGGCCCTGAGGGTAACCGCACGCCCCCTGGTGTTGAGCACCAGCGTTTGTGTGACCACATACCAGGACCCTGATGCAGCTTCAGTAAAAAGTGTACTGGATACCAGAAGCCATCACCAGACTGATCCGCAACTTGGAACAGGATGTGACATTCACTGTAGCGGCTGTGCATGCTTTCGGCGTTCTCACCCTGCTGCAGCTAGCCTGTCTGCGCTGCAGCGTAACTTTGGCCTTCCTGCTCACTGCCTCATATGCGACGTGCCCACAAGGTGGAACAATGCAACCCTTACACACAATGCATCCCTTACACACACACAAACACACAATGCATTCCTTACACACACTCAATGCACCCCTTACACACGCACACACTGCATCCTGTACATACACAGAAACACACCTTGCAGCCCTTACACATACAAACACAGATTCACACAATGCATTCCTTACACACATATCAGGACATCCCCTACACACTCCACCCCCTGTGAACAAACTAATTGGTGGAACTCCTTGCACATGCTGGAGAGACTGTTTGAGCAGCAGCAGGCGATAGTGGAGTTTCAGTTGCAGCACGCACGGGTCAGTGGCTCTGCACTAGACTTCCCTCCAATTGATCAGAGTTAAAGGATTTCAAGTGGACTCATTACAATTACAGGGCCTCTAAAGAGTCCTGTATTGTTATTTGTCGTCACTACCTTCCCGAGTCGGGAGTGGGTCATTTGTGCACCTGCTGCCTTCCTTACATGTGGTAGCCGTTTGTCAGGGTCCCTATACGGAATCAAACCCTGATTCCCCGTTACCCGTGGTCACCATGGTAGGCGCAGTCAATGGCATCGAAAGTTGATATGGATTGACATACGAATGCGTCGTCGCCTTCTCATTGGGGAGCACATTGAAAAAGTGCTCTAGCATGACAAGCTGGGTGATCTCCTCCGGGAACTTGGCTTAATGGGAGTTGAGCCAGTTCTGGGTGGCCCTTGTGATGCCAAGGTGTATACCCAGATATATCAGAGCTGCTGCAGAAAGTGTGGGCCGTCTGTGCACGCTTTTGGTGTTCTTGCCTGTCTGCGCTGCAGCGTAACTTCGGCCTTCCCGCTCACCGCCTCATGAGACTGTGCGAGCAGCAGCAGGCGATAGTGAAGTTTCAGATGCAGCATGCACGGGTCAGTCGCTCTGCGGAACAGTTTTCTTTTATTATGTGTCCCAATATTTTGGGGGCTACCCCAATTAAAATAAAAAAATATATACGTATATAGACAGTGTTGAACAGTGTTAAACAGAAACAGCTCTCTGTGAGAGAATAAGAGGCCACAGGTCTAGTATCCGGCTAGCCTATCGTGATGGCAAATCGGACAAGCCAGTGGCCAGACATTTTTTAGAATTTAAGCACCAACTTTCCTCACTTAGATGTGTTGCTATTGAGCATGTTCCCATTGCGGCCCGAGGTGGTGATAGAGCCAGGCTCTTGTTACAGAGAGAGACCTACTGGATTAGCCAGTTGGGAACCTTAGCACCCAGAGGCCTAAATGAAAAATGCTCATTTATATCATTCCTATAATTATTTGAGCCATAACCTTTTTGGGTGTATGCCCAATATATTATTGTATCTGCATGTCTATGCATTATCCCTTCCAGAATCTATGCTCCCAACTTGGGAATTTATTTGGGATGATTTTTATAGATGTCTTGAATTCTAGATGATCTATTCCATTTAAGGTTACTTTTGATATTTTTTGTATATTTATTTTTTAGAATCATTTTTTATTTGATTTCTTTTATTAGATTTTTTTTTTGTCTGTCTTTAAGTACTGCTGACTGTCTTTTAAAATTTATTATAACTTGTTGTTTATGTCATGTGTATATAATAATGGGTCTTACTCCACGTGCAGATTTTTCCGAGATATGCATGGGGATCTCACTTATTCACTATTTTGCTAGTAATCCTGTAAAGGGATATGATTTATATCTAATATATTGTCTTTTATTTCAGCAGCAGTGTGTTTTTTCTACTCACTCATATTGTTCACTAACCATGCACTTAATTCACTTGTGTTTTTTTCACATAACCTTGAATGCTGAGTGTATATATTTAATTTTTTTTCTAATTCAAATCTGCATTCCTTAATTATCACAAAGCTGATCAATTATTTAGTTTATTAATTGATTAATATATACAGCCCCATACAGTATCATGCTTGTATATGTGTGTTTTTACATGTTCTATTGTTGTCCCGTTCGTACGCTGGAGTCGCCATTCCAACACACATTAATAGGAGACTTGTTTGTCCCTCGTCGGCTCATGTGTGTATGGGTGCAACCAATAAGGCATTGTTGTCTATGGTTTCCCCAGTAACACTTAGAGCCGTCCAATTGAACATGGCCAAGGGGGTCACGTGACTAGAACCCGGAAGTGAGCTTGTTAGACATGGCGTCCACGGCGGTTCCGGCGGCGAATGAGAATGTAACGCACCTGTATGTAAGTACCTATTATTAGATGTCCTATATAAGTGTGTTTCAGTGTTTTGATATTTTGTGTCCTGATGAAAGCTCCTGTGAGGAGCTGAAACGTCGATTCTCTCTCTTCACAATAAATGAAGATTTTTTTCGTGGTGAAAATCCTTGAGTGCCGGTAGTACTTCTGTTTTATATCATCCAGCTACCAGAGCACCAGGTACTTAATATATTTTGTTACGGTTGGGGTTATCCAGATTTTTATAGACAGTGTTGGCTACCTCATCCTCCTCCAACGCTGCTTCCACCTACACCGCCACGGTCACCGCTGAAGGAATATGTTTGCTATAGGCTCAGGTTCCATTTTGTTTTTATCAACCATTTTAGTTTAAATATAAGATATCTAACAATGTATCATGCTTGTTTCTAAATGTATGTGTGCACTTCTTGTTATTAAGTTTCGTTTCTGTTGCTAAACATCTGTTTCCTGTATACCACCTGATTATTTGTAAACTACATATATGTCGTTAGAGTTAAGTTGCGATATGAGCCACGACTGTGTTAAAACGTATGCTGTTTATTACCAAAAGTCCTATGAGCCACAATTGTGTTACTTTCTCCTGTATAAGCTGCCGTGAAATAAAGATTGTTACATCATTCTGAGAAACTATACTTGCGTGCGTGTCTAAGTTTCTTCAGGGTGGTCTCCAGGCCTGAGGTCCCAGGGTCAACTTGTGCAGGTCAGAGGAAGGTCTCATACTCCTAGAAGATCATCAGTTATATCCTATCAATTGGGGGCTTGTGCAGGATCAGTCATCTATGGCCGGTAAGTTTGAAAATATTTTATTTCCTTGCCGTGACCAGGGACGTATTAGCCGCGAGGCAAACAAGGCATTTGCCTTGGGCGGCATTTTTAAGGGGGCGGCAAAAAACGCCGCCCCCCAAATGCCCAGGGCAGATGCCTTGTTAGCCTTGCGGCTAACTGACATCCCGAGCGGCCGGCGAGGGAGCACTTCCCATGAGCTGACTGCTCAGCTCCCTCGCGCACCGCAAAGTGAGGCTGGGAGCCGGAAGATGACGTCATCTTCCGGCTGCCTCACTCTGCAGCCGACGCGCGAGGGAGCTGAGCAGTCCGCTCATGGGAAGTGCTCCCTCGCCGGCCGGCCGCCCGCCCGCCTGCCAGCGCCGCCCGCCCTGCAGCCACTGGACCACCAGGGAGAGAGACCCCCCCCCCCCCAGCACTCCCAAAGGTAAGGAGGTTGGGGGGGGATTTAAATTTAAAAAAAAGTTAATGTGTGTGTGTTTGTGTGTGTGTGTCTGACTGTGTGTGTTTGTGTTTGTGAGTGTGTGTGTGTGACTGTGTTTGTGTCTGTGTATGTGTCTGACTGTGTGTGTATGTGACTGTGTGTGTTTGTGTGTGTGTTTGTGTCTGACTGTGTGTGTGTGTGTGTGTGTGTGTGTGTGTGTGTGTGTGTGTGTGTGTGTGTGTGTGTGTGTGTGTGTGTGTGTGTGTGTCTGTGTGTGTGTGTTTGTGTCTGACTGTGTCTGTGTATGTGTCTGACTGTGTGTGTGTGTGTTTGTGTATGTGTCTGACTGTGTGTGTTTGTGTATGTGTCTGACTGTGTGTGTGTGTGTGTATTTAGAAGGTGGGGCGGGGGGAAGGGTTGGGTGGGGGTGGCGCGGGGGGGAGGGGGGCGCCTGAGTTTTGTCCTGCCTAGGGCAGCACAAAACCAGGATACACCACTGGGTGTTGGGCTGTAAGCACAACCCCCACCTGTGGACATCGGGCCCTCATACCACCCTCATGGAGTCTGTTTCTGACCGTTTGAGCAGACACATGCACTTTTGTGGCCTGTTGGAGGTCATTTTGCAGGGCTCAGGCAGTGCTCCTCCTGTTCCTCCTTGCACAAAGGCGGAGGAAGCAGTCCTGCTGCTGGGTTGTTGCCCTCCTACGGCCTCCTCCACGCCTCCATGCTCTGGACACTACGCTGACAGACACAGCAAACCTTCTTGCCACAGCTCGCATTGATGGGCCATCCTGGATGACCTGCACTACCTGAGCCACTTGTGTGGGTTGTAGACTCCGTCTCATGCTACCACTAGAGTGAAAGCACCACCAGGATTCAAAAGTGACCAAAACATCAGCCAGGAAGCATAGGAACTGAGAAGTGGTCTGTGGTCACCACCTGCAAAACCACTCCTTTATTGGGGGTGTCTTGATAATTGCCTATAATTTCCACCTGTTGTCTATACCATTTGCACAACAGCATGTGCAATTGATTGTCACTCAGTGTTGCTTCCTAAGTGGACAGTTTGATTTCACAGAAGTTTGATTGACTTGGAGTTACATTGTGTTGTTTAAGTTTTCCCTTTATTTTTTTGAGCAGTGTATATCATTGCATAACCGAAACATTTATTTTCTGTAAATGTACATACCTTGCATGACATATAGCAATGAATGACCACTATGAATTTGAAAATGGTTTAATAAAAATAAATAAATAAATTCTCTTTTTAGTCAATATATTCAAAGTGAAAAAGGCAAATTATTCAACTGATTAGAACAAAACTACTTTTGATGTTTTTCATTATACCTATCATTCCTATTATACAATCTATATGTTTTATAAGGACACCCTTGCATGTTTGCTTTAGCAGTAGATGTGGTTTAGTGCTTTATTGTGTATTTTAAGGTTATGGTACATCAATATGCAATGTATACTAATTTTAATAGAGGAGATGATACTTGTACACTTTGTGTCATATGGTAGAAAGCCCTAATATTGCTTATTTTATTTAGGCTAATCCTAAATATACAGTATCTATAACAATGCTTTTGAATACCTCGCTTCTAGACTGCTTTAGTGCATCTGAGAACTTTACTTTACCTTATTTGATCTCCTAACTTTTAATTGGGACAGAATCTTGGAACAATTCACTTCAGCTTGAATTTCAATGTTTTCATCTGTGCTTGTATTAATCAGCCAAAGAATCAACTTGCCAATCTTGTGCATTATCTCCACTTGGTGACAATTAGTATTTAAACCATGCTCTGAATATATATTTAAACAATCAAAGAAGAATTACTTTCATTATTTAGGTGCTAAAAAAAAAAATTAGACTTAATTATAAATAAAATAGTTCTATGTGACAGTCCGTTAAACAGTACAGATAAAACTGCCTAAAACCAGAAAATTGATACATTATGGAAGCAGAAATCTATGTGGCTATGCTGTCCATTGTGAAATTATTAGCAAGTAATGTGGAGTGTATTCATTGTTTCATTGTCAAAATATGGTTAACTAATGTGATGTGTATAATGGATTCATGGAATGGTTGCCCAGTATGGGGTGGTATGATTGATTAATTTGACTGTCTTGAACTAAAACCTATAAGGTGGACTGTGTCTTGGAAATATTGGGTTAAATCTTGTTTGTTTCTGGAAAATACCCTGCAATGGTACAG